GAAAAAGAGCCACTGGAGAAAACCAAGTTAGTGGGTTCTCAATTCTATGGAGTATGTAGTAAGTTTGAATTGACCCAATTAGTTAGAAGGTTCTTTTCGCTACCGTCCTAACGTTCACTGTTGATTTGCTTTAACAAGATTTCACTTCAGTGAATCCGACGCAAAGTTGGTGAAACCTGAGCATAGCTATGTCACGTGAAGTGGAGAACCTATGCTTCCTCTTTTATACACCTTCTCCAATTATTCCCTGGAGCACAAGAGTTGGGGTAAACATATATATATATATATATATATATCGCTTTTCTAGGAGGCTGAGATAAAAAGAAGGAGATATAGAACCAGTGAGAAGCAACTGGTTCAGCGGTGCTACCAAAAACAACCTTCTATGTGCTACCAGAGCTACTCATCCCTTCTCCTTTCCTTTTAGTCAAGGTCTAACCTCGCATAGCCAATGAAAAGGAATACCTTAGAATAGAATCGACTATAAGCCCTGAGAGCCAGCAACAAAACCTTCCTTACTCAACCTCTGAATTAAAAAAAAAGCCCTTTCTACATAATAATAAGGTAAGCATCAAAGCCCAGCAACTTGTTGGGAGTGGGGGCTGAAAAGAGCTCTTTGCATGGGTTGGGTTTGCTAGTTTTTGGGAACATTCGACTCCACTAACAAAATGGTTCTTGGATTCCGTCCTTCTCATGCCTCGAACTCCAGTGATGCATGCTGCCACCTCCATTATCCGATCGGTTTGCCATGTCAATCAAGAGAGAAAGAAATTATGTCACATTGTTACCGAATTAGAGAACAACCCGGACTATATAGAAAAAAAAAAACCTCACCTTGAATTGAATGACTATCATTCATGGGCCAATGGAATTTCCAAGTTTTCCTAGTTCTCCCATAAGTCCTTCCAACGTTGGTTGAGTAGGTTATCCCTTAGCCTAGCTCTAGCTTGTAGGTGTTCCCCTAGTAGTATATCATAAACATAGGCTGCTGAATCGACATAAAAAAAAAGAGTCCACTTCTGCTACAACAATGGCTTCATCAAAAGGCCCCTGCTACTGGATCGGATCCTGAATCAAGGATTTTTGAACCGGCTCTTGCTGAAACATCTTCCCGGACTTTACTTGATAGTGCTCCTTCACCAACCAGGGTCCCTCAACAATCGAAAAGGTGTAGATATATTTGTTGATGAAAAAATTCATGAGATAAATCAAGCAGAATCAGCATGGAGTTGCTCACTTTGACAACTATATGAATTGCATTTATGTCGCTTTGAATGCTTTACTAATAGGTTTGATAAAGGAGCTTTTAAGCCCCTTTTTTTGGGGTTGGATCCGAGGTGAAGCCACTTTTATTTTTAAACAAGTAAAGCCAAGACATGGGTTTGTTGACCAACTATTTAATCTCATGAAAATGGAAGATATGGAGGTATAGGAAGGAAAGGCAACTACTAGTAGGAGGAAGGTAGAGGACCTGCATGAGGTGAGTCGAACACGAGCTGAGTTGCAGAGTCAGAAGATAGCACAAAGAATTCGAAACTGAGTGACGTCTTCACATGCCTTGGAATGTTGAAAGCATCTTGCTAGCCCTCTTTCTCGAATCGAACTCAACACCACCATTCGATCGGATAAATCAGTGCACTAACATGTATATATATGGGTGCGGGTGGAACTACTTCTGAAGGAGCAAGAAGCTATATTTGTCTTGTCATTCAACTTCTAAGGTTTTTTTGAATAAGGTTTGGTGAAAAAAGAATACACTTGCTCAAGCAAATGCACTTGAGAAAGCCCCTAAAATGGAAGGGGCGTTCATACCCATGCTCGAGTCAATAAGGTTGACGCTCGTTTAAGACTCCAATCATTAAACACTTATCCTTCCTCGATCTTATCATCAATGATTACAACTGCGGAATAGCGACATTGATTCCAATGAAACCAAAGACAGGGGAAGGCAAAAAAAGGTCGCATTCAAAAGGCGTGAGTGAAGGAGTGCCCCGATACCAAATATCATAGTGAGGTACCCGACTTCTTGCTCTTTTCCCCCAAAAAGAAGGGGGAAAAAGGGTTCATGTACACATCTCCGGTTGGTATCTAGCAGCCTTTTCGATTCGAGACTGCATTCAACCAATGGATCGCATTGGAGAAAGAAATGTTGGGCTGGAGCACCCCAGTTCTTCTGCAACTTAAGAAGCTGGCTCGGGATTCGATCAAGTTCACTACTTGAAGAGTTTGCCGCAGATCCCTAGGAGTAGGAATGATGGAGGTTTTTTCTCGAAAAACTAGTTATATATGTTCATATGTTGGTCGCTTGATGATCTTTGTGGGTATGAAATAGATTTCATATCCTGTTGCACCCAACTGGTCATAGGTCCATTACATATGGGGGGAGACCCCACCCACACTTCTCCAATGCAATACAGCCCAGTCACCTTATTTGAGGGTAATGGTGTGGCTCAGTCTATGGAGATACAGAGGGGGATATCTCTGAGGCCATGTATTTGAGTGGGGCATTGCTATTTCGACTTTTCATGGTAGTAGTGTGGTGCTTGCCTCTTCTCATGTACTTGGTTTTTCACTCACTTGTAGTGAAACCTTTAGTTTATCCCTTTTCTCTTTCAGATCCCTATGATAAGCACTTTCAAGGCTACGCTTGCCTACTCTATTCGCTGGATCCGTAAGATAGAGCACGAATGGTGACTGGTTATTACTATCGTTCCCTGCGGGTGGTACTCGTTACACTCACGCTCCTTCATAGAAGAAGGCTATCGCTAATCCGAGAAAGGCTTTAAGGTAGTAATGAGGACCCCTACGGGGTCTCCTCCAGGGGCTTTTCCGCTCCTTGACCTAGCCACTTAATCTGATGCCAATGTCTTTCTTGCTCGTTCGTTATAAAGGGGTTTATTGCATTCACAGGAATGAGGACACAACCAGAGCTGAGACATGACAGATAAGAGACCTGTTGGCTAGGCTAATCCCTCAGGAGATATACCCCCTATCTCGCCATAATGAAATAGGAATAACAATGTTATGGTTACCTAATCAAACCTACTATACTTGATGCCAATCCTACCGTAGGTGATTATTATCGTATATGGAAACATCACAGAAAGACAAAGCGTGAGTAAACAATGAAGCTCGTCTTATCTTATGTTATGGAGCGGGGAAGGACTGAGAATCATTTGATTCTCTCTAATGGTTTGAATGGATCTACATTTAGCCCTTCTCCACTCACCAAAAGTCGGAGTGCAAAATTACAAACCATCGGGCCTACTGCATATGCGGAGAGTTGGACCACACAATAATGGAACATCGCGAAGATGGGCCAACGGGAATAACCTGTTGGATCCGTACCATAGCTCAATTCTCTGTCATCCTTTGAAAGGAAGAAAAGGGGAGTAGAACGAAAGATGCAACAAGGAAAAAGCCTGAGATATTTCATCTCCCAGGTCATCGAGTGCTAGATAAAGAAATAGATGTTGTAGCAAACCGTTGATGGATCGAAAGAGAAAGGTTGTTTACCTGAATTCAGAGGACGAGTATGTTGATCAATCAAACAAACAAAGGTAGCCGCCTCAAGTGAGTTGTTTGAACGAAAAAGAGCAAATTTATTGAACCGGACATAATAGCTTTCTATCTCTTCTCTTGGAAGAATAGGATCGATCGATCAATCTTCCTTACCCACGGACAGAAAGGAAAAATATAAATTATTCGTTTGCCGTCTCAGAATAAATGGGATGACTGGTTGTACTAATTGCCCTAGTTGACAATCTTACTTTTTTGCTTAGTCTTTCATCTGCCTTGAGGCCAGGTGTGGGATCAATTTAAATAAAGTCTACAATTTTCGGGTCCTCCCTTACTTCTTACCTTTGCCTACTCCAGTCTCTCTAAGTGCGCATTCCATTCTAGCCTAAGCCAAAGCCATCGAAGGAAAGTCAGACATTTTGGCATAAGAATTGGATAATGATAAGGCATTGTATTCCATTCCCATTTCAAAAGACATGATTTCATTTAAGGTTATAGACTCGGCTTCTTTCATAGAGGATGTTAGGATTTGTCCTTCAGGAATTTCCCTTGCACGGGGATTCACACTACTTCTTTAACATCAAATAGAACTGATTAAACTCAATCAAGAACAGTTTCTCCTTCCCTTGCTTCTTATGACAGCGATTCCTAACACCAGTTATTTGAAATGATAGGGGATAGCCCTATTCTATTTATTTTATGATCATATCTCTTTCAACTTGAGGAATTTATTTGAAAAAAGAGACAAGAGCAGTTACGCCTTTTTCTAATCCCGGATAAGCAGCTAAGAGCCTTTCAATAGCGCAGCTGATCTTGCTAACATTTTAGACGCTACTTGGTGAGTTGCCTACCCTCACTGGTGGACTAGTTTAGTTAGAGGATGGGACGATAAAGCTCAAATCAATCGAATACCGTTTGTGACTTGACCCAAAGCCATTAGGATCAGTTGGTAAGTTGAATCCCGTGCTTGGACTTGGGTACGAAACAATAGCTATTCCTTGCATCATTAAGAGTTATGGCTTACTTCTAGGCATTCGGGGAAGGAAATGTCATTCGTGTACTAGCTAAAGTGTTATGTATGTCTGGTGGAGATCATATTCACTCCGGTACCATAATAGGTAAACTTGAAGGCAAAAAGGAGTTTGGAATTTGTTGATTTATTGCGTGATAATGTTATTGAAAAAGATTGAAGTCGCGGTATTAATTTCACTCAAGATTGGGTCTCTCGCGAGCCAACCTTTAGTTCCCTCTTCAAGAAAAAGACTTTTAGTACCTTCTTCCCTCTTTTCCCTTCGAAGCAAAAACTAGAAGTTCCTTGAGTTTAACTTCTTTTTCTTCCTTTAAGGGTGAAAAGAATCCTGACCAGAGCTCCATTCGAATAAGAATTTGTAAGAGCTTACGAATACCTTCCCCTTTCGACCTGAGACTTGTTTTGCCCTTTCTTTACAATAAGATGTCTGAAACTTTATCCTTCCCTAGACCTTGTTAATCGGCTGACTTAGCCTTTCTTCAGGAGTGCAAACAACCGCCTTTACTAATCTTTTGTTCCTATCGCCTGATCCAACAACTCCTCTTTCTTGCCTTCTCTTTACCCCTTTTATTGAAATTGGGTCTAGCCAATAACTATTCGGCCCTTCCCTCTGATTCCTGGTAACAAATTGACCCAAAAGCATAGATGATAATTAGGGGAGCAAATTCTACTCCATCAGTTACACCTTTTAACAATAAAGCACATTCTTTAACAAATGATATATAATTCACCAAAATAGAAAAAAATTTAGGTGCAAAAATATTCAAAAAACCCATATGAAGATAGATATGGACGGACTTGAAAAACAACTTTTTAAAGGCATAAGAATATAATGAAATGGCCATATTTTATAGATTTTTTTCAATAACCATTGTCAACCACAAGAATCATGTTATGGTTAAACATAACTTACTACCACAAAGGTCACCAACTTTACATATTCAATCTGTCCAGGAATAGCACCAAAAATCAAATGTAGTCAATATTTGATAGAATTGTAACTTACAATTTTGTGACTTTTTCAATCCACAACCACATGGAGTCAACCAAAAAACATTTTCTG